GTTTTCCTTTATAAGAGTTTGTTGTAGTCATGGTGTCTCTTCATAGCAGTAGAAACTCTGACGAAGACACCATCCTTTAATGTTCCTTAATTCTAGCTATATCTCCCTAAATTTCTCCCCACCTGATGATATTCCTGTTCCCATTCCTGCCCCCAGTTCATCCACGAAATCCATTCCTTTAATCTCAGCACTCAGGAGGCAGAGGCAGACTAATCTCTAGGTTTGAGGCCAGCCTGGCCTACAAAGTGAGTTTCAGGATATCCAGAGCTACTCAGAGCAACCCCATCTAGAAAACAAAAACAAAACAAAGCGAACAAATCTATTCTATTTCCCCATCACAGGAAGATCCATGTGTCCCTTTTAAACCCTAAGGAAGACTTTTTATTGGACGTGATTATGAAGGTGACTTAATTGAGGAAAACAAAGCAGGCAATTCTGGAGAAAGTGGACTATGTGTGTTAATCCATAGAAAAAACGAAGCAGATTGTGTGAGGGTTTTATGAACTAGTTTAAGGGAAAATAGGGGTGAATCTGAAAGGCTGAGGGCCATGTTTGGAAAATTAGCTTTAACCTTGTCCTGTAAGTTAGGTGAACTAACATAATTGACTTTGTTACTAGTTTCTTGATGCAACAAAATGTCTGAAATAAGCAATTTAAGGGAGGAAGGGTATATTTGGTTTGTTCTTTGAGGGATCCAGTCATGACAGAAGTGAACAGTTTGAAAAGGGAGAGAGGACAAGAGAGAGAGGTTAGTGGAGATCACTGTAAAATTAGCCTTTGGTCCAATTCCTTTGTTTGGAGAAACAATATGACAATGTGTAAAACCAGAGAAATAAACACAGAGGGATGAGAGAAACAATGAGGTTAGATCACACTTGTAAAAATAAAAAGAATCTAAAACTTTTCCCAGGACCTTGGAGATAGCTATTATCTGTGCCTTGAAAGATGCACATTACACACTGAAGTGTCTTGTATTTGGGTTGCATTTTGAAAACTGTTGTAGTAGGTGGAGGAGGAGGCTCATTCAGCTTCCTTTTACTCTTTCCCTCACCCACCCGCTCAACAGCAGCCTGAGCAAATTTCAAAAGAGAATCTGCATCAGTTTATCAGCCAGTAAATAGCCAGTGTCCAGAATCCTTTCCGTTCACAGTGTGTCTCTCTGTTCCTGGTGCTCAGCCCCTTGGATTGCTTGATTTACCACCTACGCACTGAAGTTAAAATAAATTTCCAACTTTAATACAAATATTTTCTGCAGGAAGTTGTTTCTCATAGACACTGGAAGGTGAGGCTGAATTCCTTGCATTTCTTTTGTCTACACCCTGATGTCCTTGGCATAACTTCAGTTCTTGGGTTTGGACATTAAAACATATGTTAATAATCATTGATTGGCCGAATCTGGCTAAGGCACCTGAAACTGACAAACTGCTCCACAAGCATGGAAAATGCTTATCACCTTCACTGCTATTATGAAATAAAAACTATTTTAACACTCTATTTCTTTCTCAATGATACAACAGTGCCTTTTTAAAAAACTTAATTCTTTATTGGTTCTTTGGGAATTTCACATCATGTACCCCAATCCTCCTCACCTCCCAGTCCCTCCATATTCACCCCTCACTCCTGCAGCATTGCCTTCCAAATTAATTAAAAGCAAACAACCAAAAACCCCATGTCGTTTCTCCATACTTCCACCACCTCTTCATTCGTCCTAATGATATCAGGATCTGTGATGCATCACACAGTATACCCTTTTGTCCAATTAGTCCTGCCTGCAAAATGTTTGTTACCAACCCTACCATCTACTCTAGCTATGATCTGCTGGAGTTCGTAAAGGGACTGGTCCTGCAGAATGCTAACTGCAGGATGTTCATGACTCAGGGCATCAGCAGGACATCTGAGAAGAGTTTTGGAGAGGGTCCAGTGATGTTGGTGGACCAGAGGCCTTGAACTAGACCCATACAACATTGTCTTTGATATTAGTTTTTTATTTATTTCAGTTTTCTACTTATGAATGTTTTACTTTGTGATTTCACTCCGGAGACTGAGGAACACCACTTTAAATTCTTCCTTCTTTGGAAATATTTTGGATGCCATTATCAAGTCCCTGTCTTCTTGGATGATGTTAGATAAGAGTGGTTCTAGTGACATACTTGTCTCATGAGTGCTGTGCTGTTCCAAACTCTGTGTCTTATCGTTGGATTCTCTCTTTGTCCTTTGTCGATGCCTTTCTGATGGCCCCTTAGGTTACCTCTGTTTGTGAGGAAATATTTGAAACTGTATTCTTAGGTAATTTGATCATGTCCTTTAGCTCAGATGTGTGCTACCCAGGAAAGAGGGTTCCTAGTGCCACTTTGCTCACGTCTCTGGGCTTGACAGCAGTTCTGGTTGCAGAGTCATCCCCAAAATGTGTAAGAACGACTTTTCTTTGGCCTGGTGTTCCTGAAGAAATACCAGTCATTACTGAGTGTACCGCAGAAGAAAATACAGTTTGCAAATTTGAATTAAATATACTTATAAATAACTCTCCATTTTCATGTGTCTAATTAATTTCTATGCAAGCTAGCAGTATCATTATTGACCAGCGATAATGATTTCTTCCCTACCCTCTCTATACTTCAACTGGTAGGATAGAATAGAAATTTATTTGAGAAATGTAAAAACCACCTTAAATTAAGCTGCATGGGAGCCATGTACACAGAAGAAGTATCTGTTTCTTGCATATGTCTTGTCGGTTTGAAGATGGTAAGGTGCCTTGTAGAGATATGAATGAGAAGGAGGACAAGATTCTCTGGGAAGGTGGTACTCAGGAGAGAGTTTCTTCCCTACCAAACAGTGTTAAAAGTGCTGGAAGTTGCTAAATATGCTAGCCATTTTTAAATTGTATTTAAAGTCTGCTCCATGAGATGGGACCTATATCTGACACAATTAATGAGGTCAAGAACCTAAGACTATATAGGTCATGGGCCTAAGGGAATTATTAGTCATTCTGCTAAATAAACAGCAATTAAAAAGTGACTTCTAATAATATACTGCTATACCCATAGATCAGTAAATCCCTCTGCTCTTATCAGAGAAGTGTAGATGGAAGTTTCAGTCCTGCCATGTTTTACAGGTGTCCAGTCCCAAAGAAACACACAGAGGATCATATTAATTATAAACTGTTTGGCCTATTAGATCAGGCCTTATTAACTAACTTTTACAACTTAAATTAACCCATAATTCTTGTTTATGTTTAGCTGCGTGGCTTGATAACTTTTACCAGTGAGTCATTCTCATCTTGCTTCCTCTGTGTCTTGCTGGTGACTGCAAACTGAGCCTTTCCTCTTTCCAGAATTCTCCTAGTCTGGTCACCCTGCCTATACTTCCTGCCTGGCTACTGGCCAATCAGCGTTTTATTAAACCAATATGAGTGACAAATCTTTACAGGGCACAAGAGCGTTCTCCACAGCAGAGAAGTTTCTTCTCGCAATAGATAGTATAACACAGAGACCCACTTATGCAGAGTGAGAGATTTTAGAGCACTCGGCCCTATGTGCGATATTTTCATCAAACTCTTCCCCTCAAGGCTCAGGGATCTATGCAGAAAAGGCGAATACGGTAGCCAGAGTTGGTAGAGAGCAGCAATGAAAGGCTGTTTTCTTGATGTGCCAGGGTTAATTCACATATGAACTCAGAGACTGCGTAAGACATAAATAAGCTCGAGCAAGACAAAATCCCAGCACTGAGAAAGGGAAATGGGCACAAAGTTCTGCTCCTAGTGGAGCACCTGTTGCAACTGATGCATTCTGGGAGAAGCAGCATTTGTTTTCTTTCATACAGTGACACGGAGTTTGTTAACCACATTCCAGACAGGCACTGTGCTCAGGAGGACCAAACTGGTCAACACGAATCTGACACTGTGGATTTTATCTGTTTGTTTGCTTTCTAGTTTCTTTTTCTTTTTTTTAAAGAGAGAGAAAGAATATGAAGTTGATGAAGGGAACCTGGGAAGAGTTTGGGATGTATGAAACTCTCAAAAATTGAATAAAAACATTTTTTTTTAAAAAGCCCTCAAATTCTTTAGGAACCTAAGGACAGAGCAGACCGGCATGGGCTCAGTGGGGGTCTATTACTTGTAGACACACCCTTCCTACCAACCACATCAACATCTGTAGGTGTTTTGTATTAACAGTCTTTGCTTCTTAATCTATTTTGTTGAAGTCGAAGAACAGGATTGGGCACAGGCAGGTGAGAGAGGAAAGCAAGTCTTGCACGTAATAAATGCACACCACATAGCCAAGCGATCATCCCAAGCTTAAAATGTACCAATGTTACAATTCTAAAGGCCCAACACCCTGAAATACTATCCTCGTTTGTAAATAGATTTTGCATAAATTGTTGCATGGTTCAAGTTAGTGCAGCTCCTCTGAAGTGTTTCACCCCATTCTTTCACGGTCAGTTCTCCTTGAAGTGGTTTGTTTGTTGATTTAAAATCCATGAAGATGAGATTAACTGCTTCTCTAATAGAATGCATTGAAATAGCTCTCTGAGCACAAACACTAGCAGGACTTTCAAAAGACAAATGACAAAACAGACACTTGGGAGTACTTTGCAAGGATCACATGTTTTCTCAGCCTTTGGTTCAGAAAAGGCCATCCTGTTATGACTATTAACAATAGTGAAGCATTTGCATATGGTAGAAAGTTCCTAATGATGCCTGCATAGCCGAAACCCTAAGAAAACGGAAGCCTCAGGCTGGCCTATTAGCACAGGTTCCTCTTTGCAAAGACTTCTAAAAGGGACCTGAGCTGCGTAGTTGGGATAAATCTTTGGAAAATGTGTTTCAGCCCAAGTCAGAACAGGGATAATGTTTTCCTTCCCACTGCTCCACCCCGGTTCACTTTCCAACTGAAATTACCCTTTGGTCAATTGATCGACCTATTTGTAAATGATTAATGCATGAAATATAATGTTCTCTCCTACGAATCTTTCCCACGCAGAACTTCACTGAGACGCTCTGAGAGAGCCGTGGTTGGAGGCAGTCACTGTCCGTCTTTCCCCGAACTCGAAGCTTTGCCCTGACAGCCTCATCCAGTGAGGTCCAATAAGTGTGGAGCATAAACCTGTGGGACGGAGCGGATCCATAGAAGTTGCTCCATTTTTGGTCTGCCGTCTAAGCTATATGATTTTGTTTTGGGGAATGTGGAGATTTTTTTGCTTGCTTGGTTTCTGAGACAGGATTTCACTATGGAGCACAGGCTGTTCTTGGACTCACTATGTAACCCACCTTTTTCAGCCTCCTGAATGCTGGGACTATAGGATGTATCGCCACTACTGGTTCAATTTGTAATTTTTGGATCTGGATTTGCAGAGCATCTATTTCTGCCTTGATGATCAGATGTGGTGTGAGCTGTCACCTTCACCTGTGGATCTGCAGGTCCTTGGGAGGCAACAACAAGGAAAAGAGCCCCGGAACAGAGTCAGGATCCTGGTCCCCAATCTTTTCTCTGCTACCAGTAAGCTGTGAACCAACTCTTAATGTTATTCTGCTTCTGTGGCTTGCATCTATCTCCGCATCTACAAAATGAGACATGATGCATTTTAAATGTTCTCCTGGGTCCAATATGCTCCATTGCGTAGAGTGGCCATTTTGTAGAGAGCAATTGGAAAATGCTGATGCATTGTTTGTGGAATGCTTGTGTTAAAGTTTGCACCAATGCCTTGAAAACTGCGGCTAAATGGCTGCTGCTTCCTTGTTCTCTTGTTTCTTAAATACATTTATTTATTTATATCCCTTTCACAGTTTCCCCTCCCTCTTCTCCCCATCCCCACTCTTCCTCCAACCACCTCTCTCCCTACCCCAAATCTACTCCTCCACTTCTGTTTAGGAAAGGGCAGGTCTCCCATAAGTATCACAAAACATGGCATATCAAGTTGCAGTAAGACTAATCACCTCCCCATGAATCCCAACTCGTGATTACATTCTATGATTTTCAGTCAAAGGGTTAAAGAGCTTAGTTTAATTAACAAATCACTCCAAACTAATGAAAAATTCATCTCAACATAAATGAGAAGATGAATGCTCCATTTTGTTTTGTTCCAGAAAGTCAGAGGAATACATAAATAAGCAAGGAAAATAAGACCCATTGCAAAAAGCACATCTGCCTGCCATCATCACACAGAGAGGCGCATTGTGTGGTCTTGGGGGAGTCAGCAGCAGCTGAAGAGGATGCTACTTGGGGAGAAAGAATGAATGACTATGGTGGCAAAGATGCTGGGAGAAAAATCAAAGTATGGGTGGGCGGAGTCGGAACCAGGGGAAGAATCTAGGCTAGAGGACGAACAGGGATTCTACCTGGACATTCAGGACCACAGAGGCCATCTGAATTTGCAGAAGGAAAAACAGCAAGCAAATAAACCAACCACTGGGCGGAAGTTTGGTTAGATGGTGATGCTGTCTGTGTATGTTGAACAGAATACAATGAAAGAGTGGCCATGATGCTTAAAAGTGAAGTTTATTTTTCATTCATTATTTTCTTTTAACTTAGTGTTTAAATTCTGAATACATGCGTACAATTTCTCCAGTAGCTTAGGTTTGAGCAAGCAAGGTGACTGAGCCACCTAAACACTCAACGCCATCTGCACAGAGAATCTCAAGTGCTGAAGTCCAGAGAAAACTCAAATGACATGAAGCAGTGCCTATACAATTTGGAAGGATAGCTTGATGAGATTCCTCGGGTCTCTCTCTTTCTCTCCCTGTCCCTCCATCCCTCTATCTCCCCCTTGCCCCCTTTCTCAAAAATTGCTAATGGGTTTATTTGGTGGTAGCACCTAATTTTGTCACGTGTTCAGCAAATTTTCTTCCTGTTCAGCTCTATTTAATCTTCTGAAGAGATACTTATTCCCTGGCTCCCTTTAGACCTGAGGAGGACCATGAGGGTAAAGAGAATTAAATAGACATCTGTTTGCCTTGCCTTTCTTCCCCCTTTCTTGTTTCTCTGTGGGGGATGTGTGCTCTAGAGTTAGGGCAGTTGCTTTGTGACCAGGAGGGAAGGAGACATAGATGTCAATGTTATTAGCTGTTAACTTTGAAACATTTGTTATAATAAAAACAATTCCCACCTGCTTAAATCTTTGCAACTCAGTTTTACTCTTTTTTTTTGGTAAATGTTTATCATATCTGGCTCCCAGAGAAGCATTTTGTGTTAGCTGCATGGGTTCACTCTTAGCCTGCATGGATTCACCCCAGCTCTACAGTGAGTGAGAAGAGGCTTGTTTCCCTTTCAGACTTCTTATCCTGCTTTCCATGAGCAAGAGGGGCCAATGCCAGAGCATCTTGGCAGATGGACATTTGGATTTGATACAATCACTTTACCGTGCTGTGTACTGGATGGAGCAAAGTAAAGCTGCTGTCATGTAACTCCTCCGTCTTACCAGAAGCAGTCTGAGGTCATGAATTCAATATGTTTTCTGTGACTCTGTTTTCAGCCTCTTCTTCTCCGCTAAAACATCACTGTGTCTCTTTAAGGATCTTGCTCTAGTGTATTTGTGTGTGCATGTGTACATGTGCACATGTATGCATGTGCATGCATGTACATATGTGTGTGCATGCATATGTACATGTGTACAGGTGTATGTGTACATGTATATGTATGTATATGTGTATACATGTGTGTGTGTGCATCTGCATGTGTGTATACAAGTATGGTGTGTGCATGTGTATGTGTACATGTGTATACATGTGTATGTGCATGCATGTGTGTATACAAGTATGTGTGTGCATGTGTATGTATGTACATGTATATGTGTGCATGTGTATGTGTGCATCTATATGTGTGTATATGAGTATGTGTGTGCATGTGTGTGCTTGTGTATGTGTGTTCATTCATGTGCTCCTCTCTGTACTTTACTTACTTCCAACAGACAAATAGGTAGAGGAGGTGGAAGTGGAGTGGAGTGTCCCCTCCAGAGGAAGAATACCACCCTGAGGTCAGTAGCTGGAAAATGACTTCAAGTATGTTGCAGACAATAGTGTTCATAAAAAGGCTTGGTGCAGAAATAAATTCAGAGCAGCCCAAATTTCCTGAGAGATCCATAAAAGTGTTGAAAAAATTTTCCTGACTACCACTCTAGTTGGGAAAATAAGGAATGTTAAATTAAAGATGTGTTCATTTCACTTGTACTTAACCTACATTTTATTAATCACAAAAGTAATTGGTCATGTTAATAAAATGTGTGGACCTGAGTATTTTGATTATCTCTCTATGGTAACTTTTGTTCTCTAAGTAACCATAGCATCATGCTATATGCTTTGTCTATGCTTAATATAATTTAATCTAAAAAAAGTACAATGTAAGGAATTTGAATTATAAGAAAGAGAGGAAGATATGTACATGATGGATGTGTTAGCTTCCTCACTACCATAACTTTCATTCTGTGTGGCCCATGATATTGTGCTGTATACCTTAAATGTACACAATACCATTCATTCATGTTAGCTTTTTGTGGCACTTGGAATTGAATACAAGGCCCTGTATGTGTTCAGCAGGCTCTCTATCACTGACTTATATCTTAAGTAACTATTTTTCTAAATAGCACACTATACAAAAATCTCCAATTATAAAGCAGAGAAAGAAAAAAAGGGGGGAAAAAAAGAAGTTCACACACGAAAGCTGATGAGTGGCTAGTCATAGAGAGAATGCACGGAAAGATTATTTAGCAGAGTTCCCAGCTCTATAAGACACCCAGAAAATGATTATGTAAGGGAGAATAAATTAGAATAAAATTGCATGCCTTGGGGACATCCATCTATTGGAATGTCTCTATAAAATCATAACAGAGGTTAGAAAACTTTCGTCACAGCCTTCTGAGTTTTGCTCCATAAAATTATGAAATCTGTGACAGAGGCATCTTCAGGCATAGGACAGAAATTTAGCTACCAAGCTACCATAATGAGTGGCCTTAATATAGTTAGGAACTACATCATGGCCTGACTCTGACACAAAATACTCTAGAATTACATAAATACAAAACAATTGTTTTTTTTTAAACTTAGATCTCAAAAAATATTTAAGGGGGAACTTCCTTAAACAAGAGGGTAACACCACTTCACTTACTATGAGCTAAGATCTGAAGTGTAGAGCATAATTCCTTTAAAAATTAGAAAAACTATTTTTTAAAGTTTGAAATTAAAAACTTGAAATTACTAAGCTCATGCTTTCTAGAGAGTTGAAGTTATCAGTTATGTACACTCTGACTTCTGGACTGAAAATCAGAGCAGTTATGGCAATTTCTGGAACGTGGTTAATCAACAATCTCCTTTAATGAGAAAATTAAACAGAATCCAGTGTCTGTCAGGGATTAAGGCTGGGTCCTCTGCATTCACGTACTGTTACATGTCTTGATTTTCAGCTCCTGTTGGCTACCACTGGCTGTAAGAATAAGGGTAATTCCTAAAAGAGTTGATGCTGTCTGGAGTGCTCTGCAGGGAGCAGAGTCAAGATGGGGAATGCAGGGCTTGGTCAATATTATGAACTGTGCTGTTGAGTCTGAACTAACTGATGAGTTTTCCACCAACTCCCTGGTGACTGACGAAGGTCTGAGCGTCAGGAACCTCCTGTGTTTATTCTTCAATTTTCCTTTTCATATTTTCCAGTCATCATTCTGTACTAGTGTCTCCCTATGGACCTCCTTAATTGATTCCTCCTTTGTTGTATGGCCTATTAGATTGTAACAATTTAATCTCATTTTTCAGAACTTCCTTGAGTTTTAAAGGTCCCGAAAACCGGCAGAGATGATGTGCTTTAACGGAATTTGCGCTCTTTGTTTGATCCCATTGGTTTTGATCCTGCCAGTCATACATTTTCTTAATATTTTTTAAAATCATTTCCTACATTTTACTGCTCAGGAAACATTGTTATAATAGCGATCATGAAAATATAAGATATGCATGTGTTAGTGTCTTAGAACTACCTACTGTTCAAATGCACAGAGACTCTGCTGCAGGGGTAAAAACCTAGCATGGCCTGCGATATTTCAGCACGCTTCTTAGCCACGACCTTAGATTGAAGCTCAGCAATATTTTTTCTCAAGAATTTGCTTCAGTGGAATTCCTCTTGAACAAGTACTTTGTCCTTAGGATCTTTAAAATAGCTTTCGCTGGTGGAGCACAGATTTCTTCACCGACTCTTGTCCCCCGAATCCAAAGCTTCAGCACGGGCACACCTTGTCCCCTTGCCATTTTGGCCACGTCTCATACCTCCGCAGGCACATAGTTTCTGGGATTTCCCTCTGGTTACTGCAGGGATAACCCTGGGGGCAGTTCTCTGAGGAGTAATTGTTATTCTTTGTTACAGATGACGGCAAGAATCAGGTACACCAGGAAAAAAAATGTCGGAGGAAAATTTGAACTATTTGTTCTAATGTAATTTGTCTGAGGAAGCATGAGTCTTCTCAAGTATACAGAAGGGATTCCCTGAGTCACCGGTTGTCTTAGCAGAACTGTGAGTCACTGTAGCATGTGGGAGTGACCATGGCCTGGACGTATTTGAACAATTTGCAAAACTATGCACATTCTTTTGCCTTATTCGGGCTGGAATTGCTATGGGCATATGCTTTAGTATTTTAGATTGACAGGTATAAGGTTCTGGAAGAAGATCAATTAGGAGAAAATGGATTTATGAGTTTTAAGGAATTAGTTGGTTTCCTTGGTTGAAAGATATTGCCTTTTGTCCTTAGCTACCCATGAGAGGAATGAGCCTTCCAACTCTGGAGACTAATGTGTCTCTATCAAGAGAGGCCTTTTAAGTCTTTGATAGTAGCTAACAACTGGTAAGGGCCTTAGGAGACCCCTTGAAGATGGGTCAGCCATTTCCTTTTGACCCTAATTATCTTTTATAGTCTCTTGTGAGATATTAATTCAGTAGGCTTATAATTGTGGAAAACGGGCATGCATTTTAAACTATATAATGATTAGATTAAATCATGCCGTAATTCATGAGAGAAATAAAGTAATATAAATCTTAAAAGACTGTCCCCCAAAGTCCCAGGTATTAAAGGCTTGGTCCCTGTTGTGGTATTATTGGTACACAAAAGAACCCGTAAGACAAAACAGCCAGAAGGAACCTCTTCTCATTATAAGTTCATTATCTCAAGTATATTTTATAACAACGGAAAGTTGATTGGTCCATGGGTTTCTACAAGAATTAATGCTTAGCGTCACTAGTCTATCTGTTAGATACACAAACACACACACACACACACACACACACACACACACATACACACACGGGGGGGAAGGAGGGAGGGAGAAAGGGAGATTGAGATTAATAATCCCTGGAAAAACTTCTTTGGGGAAGCATTTAATGACCTAGAGAGTCTGAAGTATTTCTTGACTGCATTTTGCATGTTTCTCCAAACTACTACTGTTGTCCCCACCATGGTCATTAATATTCTTCTCCAAAGACTCCATCTGTCAGAAATGGTGACATGCGATCCAGCATAAATAGGATGAGGTATTTCCATTGGTTCCTGTGGTCTACCACAGCTCGCTTAAGCTCCCAAGGGGAGACAGAGGTTCCGTTCATCACAGATGGAAAGTTTCTAGTCTGCAAGTGTCAAATTGGGAGCAGAGATGCCCGTGGGTTTCAAAGGAAAACTAAACAAACAGCCAATTCTTTTATCTTCTTTTCTTCTCTCGTCCACATTCTACCGTATCCTCATTTAAATTTCCCTCTCTCACCTTTGTTTGAACTAAAGCTGGTGCTCACTTTGAGCCAATAAAAACTACAAGAAGGAAACATCTGCAAGACTGTGTAACCCATACTGCAGTTATCAACAAAGTGACATCTAATTCAAGATCAGACAAAGCAGCGTCTGCAGAACATATTCTCAAGCTCAAGACACAATGGACAAAGTGCTATATAAGTGTGTGTGTGTGTTGTGTGTGTGTGTGTGTGTGCATGTGTGTATAAATTTGTACCTAATCTTTATTTATGTTACCTCATATTTTACATTTTAAATATATGTTATCCCTTGACGTTTGATCTTTGAAACAAATGGAAAGATAGATGTGTCATGTAGGTTTGATTTAAGACAATAAATAACTAGTAGAACTGGCCTAGTGCCCCAGCAAATTACTTACAAGAATTACCTACTGTGTTAAAAAATATATTGTTAAATCCTGAAGTGAGTGTAAGCTCTTTAGGGAATTCCTATTGTCTTGTCAATAGGAATTTTAAATGATGTGCAAACTTTCTGGAAAGCAGTTTTGAAAACAAAGTTTCCATGTTTTGAAGAGCAATTCTATTTCGAGGAATGCAATTTCAGCAAAGAATTAGAATTTTGTATGAAGATTCAGCTACAAAGAGTTCCTAAGAAGTGTGCTCAAATAAACTGCTTAAATGGACATCTCCGGTAACTGTAGAGGGACTCAAAGACCTTTTTACCTTCTGACTCCTAGGAGTTCTCTCAAGGTCTTCTTG